CAACTTTGACATAAGTTAGTTAGAGCCGAGAAATGTCAGATTGATGTCCTTCTGATCTACCATGATAGCCATGATCTAATCCACTACAACTTGATTTATCACGACCTGATCTACCACGACAGTTACGACCTCTTGATCTGCTATTATGATCACCACGATCTCTTGAAGCTTGATTTTCTATAAAAGCTATATTTAATTAGCATATTAAAAAAAAAAGAATATGATGCAAAGAGAAAGTTAGAGAAATTGAGAAAGGGCAGAAAAAGAAGAAGTTAAAAGAGTTGAAAAATAAATTAGATAATAAAGAATGAAAGATGAAAATCAGAAAAAGAAATGGGAAAAACAGAAAAATGAATTGAAGGAGAAGGAAGAGTTGAAAAGAAGTAAGAAGAAGTAGGAAAAATAAATGATGAAACTACAGATATTCTAATCAAATTTAAAAAAAAAGAGAAAAAAAAACTTATCAAATGTAAATAATTCATCATTATCATCATTATGATCATCTTGATCAACCTTCATAACTGATAAGTAATGTGAATTAAAATGCAATGGAGCATTATCAACCAAAAGCAAGATTTTTTTATTTTGCGCCCTAAAATGATTATCAATTTCACGAAGAATCTCTTCAAATAATGACAAATTCATCTATGCTTTAGGATTATTTTGATAAAAGACAGAAAGATGTTCTAAATTAACCCTAGAAAGAGGTCTTAGACATTTTGAATTGCCAATCACCTATGGCTTTAACTTATAAGTTCCTATTGCATTAATGCTAAGAAGGACTGTAATTCGTGTTTTGTCCTTCTTTCAGCTAAGAACTGGCTTTGTTGAAAGCGTTTAGCTTAAAAACATTTGATAAAAAAGACCCTATATTAAAAGAATAAATTTTATTAATATCCTTATTTTTAATTATATGACGATGTATTTAATTGGACTAAATGACCTATTGAATATTTTGAATTAGCCCTTAAGTAGCATAAATCACAATCTCAAATCAGATTGGTGGTAATAGTAAATTAGAATAGTGAGCTATTTTAATTGATATTTTAACGTCTGTCTAATAGCATTTTTTTTTATAAGAAAACTGGAAAACTTACCGTTTTGTCAATTTTATAAAT